AATGTATGTGTACAAAGAATGAATATATTAAACAAAGTCAAAAGTTAGCTGCCGATTTCAGAATTTATGATAGAAGATATCTTTGATGTAATCATATTAGAGTTTGAAAAGTTGATGTCTCATTTAGCTATCATGTTTCTTCACGTTGGCATGCATTGGATAACAAACCAACTCTCTATTTTCTTTTTGATAACAACAAAAAGGCCTAGTACAAATCAAGTAAAAATCTTTTGGTTAGGATAAGACCTATCTTCTACTCTAGTCTACACTTATAAATAGTAGGCTAGAATCCCACATTTTACCACACCAAAAATTCACACGTGAAATAGAGAAAGAGAAAGATAAAAGAGAGAGGGAGAGAGAAAGGAGAAAAAAGGAAGACAGAAAGCAGCATTAGAAATAGAATTTCATACATCGAGTATTTTAATCACATACTTTCAAAGCGGAGGAACGATTTTCAACATACTGTAGAATCAACGAGGTAAGATACATTTATGTGCAAAGTGTTTACGTTTCCTTATGCTCTTATATGCGATTAAATATGCATGGAATGCTAGTGGATCTTCGGGTTCTAGAGAAAGAGATATGAAATTTCTACATGGAAATTAAGAGGACCTAAGATGGGTGTGTCGCTTGGTCACCAATATACTCCATAAGAGAAGAGCGGTATGAAGTGTATTATTTATTTGTTATATATCTGTGTATGGAAATTTGCACATATCTTACTGGGTATTTTTAATACTCACTCTTACATTAATCTTACAGATTAGTTCGGGTTGATTGGAACAGTGGAGAATTGGTGATGCGGACTGCCAAGTGGATAAAGAATAGAGAAAAAGAAATAAGTTTGCCATTTTAAATTTAGCAATTTGTTTATTTTAATTTAGAACGCATTATTTGAATTACCTAGGATTTTATGTTTATGGTTAGATACACTTTCAATAATTTTAATTTAAACGTTACAATTATTTGTTTATTAAAGAATTTTATATAGTTCCGCATTTTTAAATTAAAGAAAAATGAGTTTTCGTAACGTTCCGGTGTTTAATGTAAAGGAAAGAAAAAATTGGGACGTTACAGTATGGTATCAGAGCTCGGTTTTACTTTCCTGTAGACTTTTCCAAAAAAAAAAAGTCACGTGAACAGTAACAAGAACTGTTCACGTAAACAATACAGGAAATTTTGGAATTTTGCTTCTGCTATAAAGCCACTTTAAATTTTTCAGTGAATTGACCATTTGTTCCATCTGACCGAGTACATCACTTTGCATAATGTATTCATTCATATGTCCTTTATTGCATACCATGTAAGGGTGAAATAATATTTTAATATATATTACAACCTTGGAATTTGAAACTCAAATGTTTTAAAGGTGATTTGATATTTTAATGCAACCTTTTCGCAGGTTCTGTTGCATGCTGGGGTGTATGTATATATTATAGTGCGTGTGCATGTATTTGTATGTGTCTTGGTGTGCGTGTTAACATAAAAAGGGGTGTCCACATTATATTATGTATAAAAAAAATCATATTTTAATAAATCTCTTTTCTCACTTATTGTTTCGAGTTTCTTTGATTTGCGTATCCACAAGACTGAAAAGCTTTGTCAAAAAGACCTAAACTGTCTAAGGCGAGCTTGGGATTTAAGCGGTCCGTTTGTGACCCCCCTCCTTGCCTGGAAGTCTTTTCAGTTACGTGTTATTCAAATCATTAAGACGGAAAACAATAATTCTAAGAAAATTATATTTAAGATTTTGTAAAACGATACAGCAAAAAAAAAAAAATATTTTAGTAACTGTTCATCTGTAAACAGTGATAATAATGAAAATGGTATGTTGTTAACGTGAAGTGTTCAATACTTTTCGTGCAAAATAGTTTTTGTTTTTATTTCCTACATTTATTTAATGTTAAAGGTTTGTGTAAAATAATGAACTTACATAGTTATTATTGGAAACATTTATGACGTTCCAATTTTAGAAAATTCTTAAACAAATAAAATCAATGTATTTTTTTTTTATGTTGTGATTGCAAACTTTTAAATACGTAATGATATAAAGAATACTTGGCACATGATGCTCACCATTCGACTACTCTCCAATTGAACCCAGGTATGAAATGTAATGACATGTTTTTAAACATTGCTGCATGTTATAAAATGTATAAGCATGTTCACATCGCATAATTTATTTGTCATCTTGTTAGAGTATAGTTTATGCACTGAGAATAAAATATATATATATATATATATATAATAATAATAATAATAATAATATTGATAATGCAAAGTTAAGCATAATTAAAATTATGTTGTCATGTGATTAGGATGACTAGGAATAGCCCAACGTACCTCCAGCGTGCTGAAATGGCCATTGAGAACTACATAAATTATGAAGTGAGATGGGAAAGAACTTTTGTTGAACATGTTGAAGATTTCCTTTCTAAGTGGGAGCGAGCAAGGTCATTTGGATATAATGAGGGGACAATCCTTTTGATATATCACCTTATAAGCACTATGCGACCTCAATGGAGAGACGTGGCTTATTTCGTGAGGGACATGGATTATGATTTATATTTGGAAGAAGATTGGGATAAGATTGATTTTAAAGGATACTGTGAAGATATCATAATTTTATGGAACCATAGACAACAAGCACCAGCGCCCGAACCCGAACCGGAGCCGGAGCCGGAGCCGGAGCCAGAGCCAAAGCCAAAGCCAGAGCTGGAGGAAGACCCAGAGGAGGACCCAGAGGAGGAGATCGAACCAGAGCCAGAAGACCCTGAGCAAGAAGTCCAACCACAAAATTTCATTGATTTGGTTATGGATTCCGAGCCCGAGTCATGCATTACTTCGAATGATGAGATGGCATAAAAAGAAGATTCTAGATTAGGGATAAGTTTTATTTATTTGCTTAGGAAAAGTTGGATTATTTATTTATTTATTTGATTTTTTGAAGAGCAAATTTTTTCTTATTTAAGGATTTTGAAATTTTATTAAATTCATCGTTGTTACAAAAATATTAGAAGTGTTTTACCAATTTTTTTCCCTTAATTAAAATTTTATTTGTGTTAAGAAAATGTCGAGACAACAACCAAATCAAGGTACGATCATCAGAGATTTGCTAAGGGCGGTACAAGATTTGGATAGGCAACAAGCACAGGGTGGTCCCCATGGTACAAATGCTAACAACACCAGCTCAATTGTGGAACAGTTCCGTCGCTACAAACCCCCAACCTTCGATGGCAAGGCAGACCCACTAGCAGCTGAAGAATGGATAAGAGGAATGGAGCGAATCTTCAAACATCTATCTTGCACTGATGCTCAAAAGGTGTTATGTGCAGAATTTATGTTGGTTGACACGGCAGGCCATTGGTGGGAGTCAGTATCTCGCACTAGAACAGAAGCACAACAACGTGCTCTCACTTGGACACAGTTTAAGGAGGAAATGATGGGAAAATACTTCCCACAAGCCTTGAGGGATCGCAAGGAGACAGAATTCCTTCAACTCAGACAAGGAAAGACGAAACTTGAAGAATATGAAAGAAAATTCGAACAACTCTCAAGATATGCTCCACACCTAGTGGATACTGAAGCAAAGAAAGCAAGGAGGTTCGAACTTGGATTGCGTCCTGAGATTGGTGGAATAATGGCATCCCACCAATTCACCACCTATAGGCGCGTTTTGCAAACTGCCCAAGCAATCTCAAATAGGTTGGAAATGGATCAAATCCTATAGCAAGGGGCCGAGTTATCAGGAAAGAGGAAGTGGAATGGGTCCAATGAAGGGAAGGGAGAGGGACAGAACAAAAAGATTAACTTTGGATCAAGTTTTGGACAAGCTATTCCACCCTGTCCAAAGTGCAATAAAATGCATAGTGGTGAATGTTTGTTTGGGAAGCATGTGTGCTATCGATGCGGTAAAACAGGGCATATTTCCAAAAATTGCAAAGAAGATCCCTTGAAGAAGAATGATGAACAAGAAAAGAAGGGAAACGCCCGAATTTTTGCTTTAACCCAGGAACAGACAATAGAGGACCCGAATGCAGGTAATTTCGAGGACGAAATTATTTTAAGGGGGTGAGATTGTAACATCCCAAAAAAAAAATTCTTTTTTTTTTTATAAAAATTTATTTAATATCTATATTATATTATTTCAAAAGTTGAGGGACTAAGAGGCAATATATTTTAAATTCTTATACTTTGAGTCAAATAATTAAATTTCGATAGAGTAAATATAAGTATATTAATATTATACTCGTTGGATAGCCAGTATTTAATTATGAATTTTAGGCTCGAGAAATAGTCGATTTGGATAACCCAGCACCAAGAAATTTCGATTTGAAGAAATTGGTTTTCAAATTCAATTAAAACTTGGAAGGATGATGTGATGTTGACACGTGTACATGGAATTGTCTTGATTTTGTATGGTGCGTACGTATAGAAATGGTTATGAATAAAAAGAAGTAGGTTTATTTTAATAATTATTTGCTTTGATTTTGGAGAAAAAGAAGGGTAGGTTTCCTTGATTTTAGGGATTGATTATTTTAGTATTATTTAATTACTTGACTTTATGAGTTGATAGACTCCAGATTTTTCAAAACAGCCATGTATGTGTACAAAGAATGAATATATTAGACAAAGTCAAAAGCTAGCTGCCGATTTTAGAATTTATGATAGAAGATATCTTTGAAGTAATCATATTAGAGTTTGAAAAGTTGATGTCTCATTTAGCTATCATGTTTCTTCACATTGGCATGCATTGGATAACAAACCAACTCTCTATTTTCTTTTTGATAACAACAAAAAGGCCTAGTACAAATCAAGTAAAAATCTTTTGGTTAGGATAAGACCTATCTTCTACTCTAGTCTACACCTATAAATAGTAGACTAGAATCCCACATTTTACCACACCAAAAACTCACACGTGAAATAGAGAAAGAGAAAGATAAAAGAGAGAGGGAGAGAGAAAGGAGAGAAAAAGGAAGACAGAAAGGAGCATTAGAAATAGAATTTCATACATCGAGTATTTTAATCACATACTTTCAAAGCGGAGGAACGATTTTCAACATACTGTAGATTCAACGAGGTAAGATACATTTATGTGCAAAGTGTTTACGTTTCCTTATGCTCTTATATGCGATTAAATATGCATGGAATGCTAGTGGATCTTCGGGTTCTAGAGAAGGAGATATGAAATTTCTACATGGAAATTAAGAGGACCTAAGATGGATGTGTCGTTTGGTCACCGATATACTCCATAAGAGAAGAGCGGTATGAAGTGTATTATTTATTTGTTATATATCTGTGTATGGAAATTTGCACGTATCTTACTGGGTATTTTTAATACTCACTCTTACATTAATTTGACAGATTAGTTCGAGTCGATTGGAACAGTGGAGAATTGGTGATGCGGACTGCCAAGTGGATAAAGAATAGAGAAAAAGAAATAAGTTTGCCATTTTAAATTTAGCAATTTGTTTATTTTAATTTAGAACGCATTATTTGAATTACTTAGGAGTTTATGTTTATGGTTAGATACGCTTTCAATAATTTTAATTTAAACGTTACAATTATTTGTTTATTGAAGAATTTTATATAGTTCCGCATTTTTAAATTAAAGAAAAATGAGTTTTCGTAATGTTCCGGTGTTTAATGTAAAGGAAAGAAAAAATTGGGATGTTACATGGACAGTTTAAATTTCAAACAGTTTTCCCTTCCAATTGAAACTTGACAACAATCCAAGGGTCGAAAAACATGTCAAAAATATGTTTACAAGTAGCAAAGTTCAATCGGTAAGGACCTTCCTACATGTACACGATAGTGTATACTTTAGTTTACACTTTGCCACATGATAGTACATTGTTGGACAGTTACAATTTCAAATAGTTTTTCCATCTAATTGACGCTTGACAACAATCCAAGTGTCGAAAAACGTGTCAAAAATTAGTTTACGATTAGCAAAGTTCAATCGGTAATGACCTTGTTACATGTACACTATCATGTACACTTTAGTTTACACTTTGCCACGTGACATTACCCTTTTGGACATTTTAAATTTCAAACAGTTTTCCCATGCAATTGACACTTGACAACAATGCAAGTGTCAAACAACGTGTCAAAAATCAGTGTACAAATAGCAAACATCAATCGGTAAGAACCTTGTGACATGTACACAATGGTGAACACTTTTGATTACACTTTACCACGTGTCATTATCCTGTTGGACAATTTAAATTTTGAACAATTTTCTCATCCATTTGACACTTGATAAGAATGCAAGTGTCAAACAACATGTCAAAAATCAGTTTACAACTAGGTAAGTTCAATCAATAAAGACCTTGCTTCATGTACACTATGGTGTACACTTTAGCTTACACTTTGCCATGTGACAATATCCTGTAGGACAATTTAAAGTTCAAATAGTTTTCCCATCTAATTGACACTTGACAATAATGCAAGTGTCAAACAACGTGTCAAAAATCAGTGTACAAATAGCAAAGATCAATCGATATGAACCTTGCGACGCGTAAACTATGGTTTACACTTTAGTTTACACTTTGCCACGTGTCATTACCCTTTTAGACGGTTTAAATTTCAAACAGTTTTCCCATCCAATTCACACTTGACAATAATGCAAGTGCCAAACAACGTGTCGAAAATCAATGTACAAATTGTAAAGTTCTATCGCTAAGGACCTTCCATCATGTACACTATTGTGTACATTTTAGTATACACTTTGCCACGTGACATTACCATGTTGGACAGTTTAAATTTAAAATAGTTTTCCCATCTAATTCACACTTGACAACAATGCAAGTGTCAAACAACGTGTCGAAAATCAGTGTACAAATAGCAAAGTTCAGTAGGTAAGAACCTTGCCACATGTACATTATGGTGTACACTTTAGTTTACACATTTCCACATGACATTACCCTATTGGACAGTTTAAATTTCAAATAGTTTTTCCATTCAATTAACACTTGATGACAATGCAAGTGTCTAACAACGTATCAAAAATCACTGTACAAATAGCAAAGCTCAATCGGTAAGGACCTTGCTACATGTACACTATGGTGTATACTTTAGTTTACACTTTGCCATGTGTCATTGCCCTATTGGACATTTTAAATTTCAAGTAGTTTCCATCTAATTGACACTTGACAACAATGCATGTGTCAAACAACATGTCGAAAATCAGTGTACAAATAGTAAAATTCTATCGATAAGGACCTTCCCTCATATACACTATGGTGTACACTTTAGTATACACTTTACCACGTGAAATTACCCTTTTGGACAGTTTAAATATGAAATAGTTTTCCCATCCAATTGACACTTAACGACAATGCAAGTGTCAAACAACGTGTCAAAAATCAGTGTACAAATAACAAAGTTCAATCGGCAAGAACGTTACGACATATACACTATGGTGAACAATTTAGTTTACGCTTTGCAATGTGTCATTGTCCTTTTGGATAGTTTAAATTTCAAACAATTTTCCCATGCAATTGACACTTGACAACAATGCAAGTGTGAAACCACGTGGCAAAAATCAGTGTACAAATAGCAAAGTTCAATCGGTAAGAACCTTGCTACATGTACACTACGGTGTACACTTTAGTTTACACTTTGCCACATGACATTACTCTGTTGGACATTTTAAATTTCAATCAGTTTTCACATCCATTAGACACTTGACAAAATTGCAAGTGTCAAACAAGGCACCGAAAATTAGTGTGCAAATAGAAAAGTTCATTAGGTAAGGACCCTGCCACATGTACACCATGGTGTATACTTTAGTTTTGACATTTCTACTTGACATTACCCTGTTGGATAGTTTGAATCTCAAACAATTTTTCCATCCATTTGATGCTTGACAACAATCCAAGTGTCAAACAACGTGTCAAAAATCAGTTTACAAATAGCAAAGATCAATCGGTAAGAACCTTGTGACATGTACACAATGGTGTACACTTTAGATTACACTTTACCGCATGTAATTATCCTGTTGGACAATTTAAATTTCAAACAATTTTTACATCCAATTGACACTTGACAACAATGCAAGTGTCAAACAATGTGTAAAAAATTAGCGTACAAATAGCTAAGATCAATCGGTAAGAACCTTGCGACGCGTACACTATGGTGTACACTTTAGTTTACACTTTGCCACGTGTCATAACCCTATTGGATAGTTTAAAATTCAAACAATATTCCCATCCAATTGACACTTGAAAACAATGCAAGCATCAAACAACATGTCAAAAATCAGTGTACAAATAGCAAAGATCAATCGGTAGAAACCTTGCGACACGTACACTATGGTGTACAATTTAGTTTACACTTTGCCACGAGTCATTACCCTATTGGACAGTTTAAATCTTGAGCAGTTTCTCATCCAATTGACACTTGACAACAATGCATGTATCAAACAATGTATCGAAAATCAGTGTACAAACAGTAAAGTCCAATCGGTAAGGACCTTCCCTCATGTACACTATGGTGTACACTTTAGTATACACTTTGTCATGTAAAATTACACTTTAGTATACACTTTGTCACTTTGAAATAGTTTTCCCATCCAATTGACACTTGACAACAATGCAAGTGTCAAACAACGTGCCAAAAATTAGTGTACAAATAACAAAGTTCAATAGGCAAGAACCATGTGACATATACACTATGGTGAACAATTTAGTTTACACTTTGTAACGTGTCATTGTCCTTTTGAATAGTTTAAATTTTAAACAGTTTTCCCATCCAATTGACACTTGACAACAATGCAAGTGTCAAACAACGTGCCAAAAATTAGTGTACAAATAACAAAGTTCAATAGGCAAGAACCATGTGACATATACACTATGGTGAACAATTTAGTTTACACTTTGTAACGTGTCATTGTCCTTTTGAACAGTTTAAATTTTAAACAGTTTTCCCATTCAATTGACACTTGACAACAATGCAAGTGTGAAACCACGTGTCAAAAATCAGTGTACAAATAGCAAAGTTCAATCGGTAAGAACCTTGCGACATGTACGCTACAGTGTACACTTTAGTTTACACTTTGCCACGTGACATTACTCTGTTGGAAAGTTTAAATTTCAAATTGTTTTCCCATTCAATTGAAACTTGATAACAATGCAAGTGTCAAACAACGTGTCAAAAATCATTGTACAAATAACAATGTTCAATCGGTAAGAACCTTGCTACATGTACACTATGGTGTACACTTTAGTTTACTCAATGCCACGTGACATTACTCTGCTAGAAAGTTTAAATTTCAAATAGTTTTTCCATCCAATTGACACTTCACGATGGTTCAAGTGTCAAACAACATGTCAAAAATCATTGTACAAATAGCTAAGAGCAAACGTTAAGAACCTTGCGACATGTATACCATGGTGTACACTTTAGTTTACACTTTGCCACGTGAAATTACCTTTTTAGACAGTTTAAATTTGAAACAGTTTTCCCATCCAATTGACACTTGACAACAATGGAAGTGTCAAACAACATGTCAAAAATCAGTGTACAAATAGCAAAGATCAATTGGAAAGAACCTTGCGACATATACATTATGGTGAACAATTTAGTTTACACTTTGCCACGTGTCATTGTCCTGTTGGATAGTTTAAATTTCAAACAGTTTTCCCATCCAATTGACACTTGACAACAATGCAAGTGTTAAATCACGTGTCAAAAATCAGTGTGCAAATAGTAAAGTTCAATCCGTAAGAACCTTGTTACATGTACACTATAGTGTACACTTTAGTTTACACTTTACCACGTGACATTACTCTGTTGGACAGTTTAAATTTCAATCAGTGTAACCATCCAATAAACACTTCAACAATGCAAGTGTTAAATAACGTGTCAAAAATCAGAGTACAAATAGCAAAGTTCAATAGGCAAGGACCTTGCCACATGTACACTACAGTGTACACATTAGGTTACACATTTCCATGTGACATTACACTGTTGGACAGTTTAAATTTCAAATAGTTTTCCCATCCAATTGACACTTGACAACAATGTAAATGTCAAACAACGTGTCAAAAATTAGTGTACAAATAGCAAAGTTCAATCGGTAAGAACCTTGCTACATGTACACTACGGTGTGCACTTTAGATTACACTTTACAACGTGACATTACCCTTTTGGACAGTTCAAATTTCAAACAATTTTTACGTCCAATTGACACTTGACAACAATGCAATTGTTAAACAATGTGTCAAAAATCAGTGTACAAATAGCAAAGTTCAATTGGTAAAAACCTTACTACATGTACACTATGGTGTGCACTTTAGTTTACACTTTGCAATGTGACATTATCCTTTTGGACAGTTTAAATTTCAAACAATTTTCCCATCCAATTGACACTTGACAACAATGCAAGTGTTAAACAATGTGTCAAAAATCTATGTACAAATAGAAAAG